TGCATGCCATCACGGGACCGAAGTACGAGATCCAATATGCTCTCTTTTTGAATGTTGTAGTCCGATAGTACGTATCCATCTTCAAGTTGTTTCTCGGCAAATATCAACCTCTGTTGATCAGGTGGGACTCCCTCTTTATCTTGAATTTTTGCTTTTAGATTTTCGATGGTGTCACTCGGTTCTACTTCTAATGTAATCGTTTTTTCAGTAAGTATTTTCACAAAGATTACCATGCCACTACAAAGCCGAAGTACGAGATGTAGTGTGCTTTCTTTTTGAATGTTGTAGTCTGATAGGATGCATCCATCTAGAAGTTGTTTCCCAGCCAATATCAGCCGCTGTTGTTCGGGTGGAATTCCCTCTTTGTCTTGAATTGCTGCTTTGACGCTTTCGACAGAGTGGCTCGGTTCTACTTCTAGTGTAATCCATTTTCCGGTAAGTGTTTTGACAAAGATTTCCATTGCTAAAAACGAACGAACGAAGTAGAACTCATGTGTAGCAAATATCTGGCAATTGTTCAACGCACAGGATCTTTCAAAAGTTTGTCGAAAAAATCAACCCAAATAACTCTTGAACAATTCAGACGATTTCTATATTTTTCAAATAATATAACGGTATGCGCTTGGGGCTCAGGTCAATGGCGTACGACCGAAATACGCTGAAAAATGCTCGGAACTGGGTGGCAGTAATCCTGTGCCCGGATTCAGTGACAGAATTTTCGCAGTTTCTGTCGGAACCGTCTGTAACGGAGGAGTTCCGGTCGCCATACAGAGGCACAGGATTACTGCCACCCAGTTTCGAGCTTTTCCGGCGGGTTTTCACGGGAAATTCGCAGAGCTGGGCGCGGAGAATCATTGATCTCGGGGGTTGAATTTAACGTATTTTCTGATTAATACTTGTGCATATAAATAATTGAATAAAAGTACTTTTCTTTAAGTCCCAATTTGAATCAGAGCTGCCAATTTCGTCTGCTGTCTAGCAGGTCTCCAGGTTATGCTGAATTTTGAAATTTTTGTGCAGTTTAATCGGTTTATATACTTCTCGGCCTGATTAAGTAACTGGGGTATGGCTGTGGGCGCGGATGTCTGGGTTTAGATGTGCACGTGAGTGTGACGAAAAGATAAATACAAGCATATCCTGACCCACTCCTACACCTACGCTCATCCACATTCACATTCACCTACACCCGCACCCTAATAGTGGAATTTCAGCGTGGTGTGTGGACGTGGATGTGGACTGAGCTTTGGCGTGTATGTGAATGTGTGCTGCAGGTACGAGGAAGGATTTGGATGAGGAGAGTGTTAGCTTATGGGTGGTGATGTGGTCGGATGTAAGCCGAGTTCAGCTGTAGAATGTAGCTGGGAAATTGTGTGCATCATTGTGGATCACTGTTTGTGTGCGTGCAGATATAAGACATCGATATGGGTGGGGACTCTGTGTGTGTCGATGTCGATGGATGTGGTGTTGGTCTGAATGTTTCTGTTGTCGTGGATATGTTGGTTGTGTGCAGGGTTGGTGATGTCATGTATTACCGTGCAGTATAAGTTCTGCACGTTCTTCTTTTGGTTTTTTAGGGAAGTTTTGGGTCTAAGGGGTAAAACATGTACTCCAAGTAGTCCGGGTACTCCCAGAGTGCAGGAAGTACATGTGAAAACAGCGAACGCTATAATTTATCCCGCGTAGTTTTTAAAACACCATTACAAGTCTGGACTTTTCCTGTTTTAGTTTCTAAATAACCTCGAGTACTAAATTGTTCAGTAGATAAACAAAGTGTCTATAGTTGTACTTAGTAGACGAGATGACACATTGCGTTTTTGTGTTTCTTCTGGTTGGACGTCTAGACGAACGGCATGAGGGAAAGGAAAAATACTTACTAAATAAGCATGCTCTTTGCCCAAGATTTCCGAGCTCGATTATTCTGCGTTCGATTATTTTCGGTGTGGGCATCGCGATTTTCGTCATTCAGATAGCTTCGACTCTTGAAGACGATATCAAAGTCACACCAAAAAGTTGTGTAAGGCTCGCCAGAAGACAGTGTTAGTAATTTGTCAAGAGCCATCTTGAGGGAATCGTAGTAAATATCCGATAGTTATCTGAGGACAGTGCTAGTGGCTTTTTACAGGCTTTCTAAAGACACTCTTGGTAACTTTTCAAAGATTATCCAAGGGAGAAAACGTGTAGCTTCGTACTCCCATACTCCTTAGACTCTGAGAGTATATAGGAGCGTGTGGAATGCAAGATATGGTTGAGACAAACTTTAACGTTAAAGTAGCATACTTTAACATTAGAGCCTTAAGAAAATCAGGGATAAAGTACTTGTGCTACGAGGGTACTTGGGTCTTCATGTGACTATCCCGCAAGAATACGTAAGTTCTCACCTGACCATTCTAGAAGACTCACTTGGATTTTCATTAGAGGTGGCACTGTGACTTGAAGCAAATCAAAACTAAAGTGACTAAGAGGAGATCTCTTCAAGTGATACAACGCTGTTAGAATCGCATCGCTTTAGCCTTGGAGACCACTGTGAGTAGTGAAATATCCTAAGTTGCTTAGCGCTCTTATTGCTTCCGGAGGGAGCTATGACCGATCTGCTGATTTTCGGGTCTGTAGTGTCGTGTCTACAGGAGTAATAAATGGGTGACTTGAGATCTGAAATTTTGTCTATATAGAGATATCATTAACACCAGAATGTCTT